CATGCATGAGTGCATAAAATAGCATAAATAGTATTTGACCCATATCTATGCGAAAACACTGTCGAACTCTAACAAATTTATTACCAAAATGATCAGCGCAAAAAGCTTTACAAACTCTGAAGGTTTCAATCGATTTAAGCATGGTTGCCGGATCGACTGGCGAGACCCCATGAATACACCCTATATTGTCGAATATTTTTCTTCCGTATCATATAAAAGCAATATTGTTGCTATTTTATGATAAAGAAAATGAAGTGTTTATTATAAACTAATCAACGTTGTGCATAGTTTCATACATCAAAGAACCAATAAAAATATAGTCATATCGAAAATGACTTTAAAGTATTTATTATTTTGTCAGTAATGTTGATCACGGATAATGACCAAATAAATCTTTCACAGTCTAAATCTTTCACAGTCTAAACCTTTCATTGTTTTCACTTCATTAGTTCCAAACTTTGAAGTATATTTCATTACATACAAAACGAAATTTATATCAGATTATCTATCACCTTATATGAAATATGTGAGTCCTACATTTCAGCCCGAAAGGGGCTGCACTAACAAGCTTTGATATAGAATCGGTTGTAGAATCCTCGATTATATATGTCAGATCTTGTGGGTACTGGTGTTTAAGCAGAAATGCAGGATGATGTTTTTTGGCATACACATACGAATCTTCTGTAATTTTTTGAACTGAGTATCGACCAATGACGAGAGTCCCTTCTCAACTGAGAATGCACTGGCCAATTCGGCATTTTAAGTCGCTTCGTAACAGATTTCAAGTGCCAGAGTAAGGACTTTTTTTTATTGAACGAAACAGTAGTATCTTTTTTTCGAAGGAAAAATACACAGATGGCTGTAGTCCTTTTTTTCTGAAATCGCTTGTAGAATAGCCAAATCTATCTTTCAAATTTCATTAATATTTGCCATAAAGCAGGAAGGTCGCTTCATCTTTTCTTTGGATATCGATAGACATGTTCTATAACTTTTGAAGATAAATTTGGAGCCTTGACAATAATAACTTCTGAGTTATTGACACCATCGTTCATTCTACGTTTTATATCTCCTGATAACTGCGTTTAACGGCGAAGGGAAGAACAATTTTTTTTAATGTTAACAGGCAAAGACGTCTCTATTTTTTGTTAATTAGTTTACAAGCTCTGACAATAGTTATCTTTGCATTCGTTTTTATGATTCACGATCCTTCCTTATAACTCACCTGTATAATCGCATTGAAGAGAAAAGGTAAAGACGCACTATTCATATTGATAAAAAAAAGTAATATCTCATTCTTCATTATTTGAAAAACCGTGGGCATAGTTTTTTCTACATTTCTTTTTATAATTGACAATCATTTTTTTATTTTCAATCTGGTTGAGCAGCTCCGTTAAACGATGAAGGTAAGCATATGCGCTTCTTACGTGGATAAATAAAGCCGCGTCTATATGGAAGCATGAGTGTATATCTTGAGTAATCAAACAAATTTGTTAACACAACAATATATATATACATCTAATATTAACGATAGTTACATTATATTACATGTTGATATTGATGCACTATTGCGTTTATGGTCATGTTATATGATTTATAATGTTTAGATATTTAACATTGATATTATTATTATTATTATTATTATTATGTTCATTCTGATGTTATTTATATTTATTTTGAATTACCATATGTTTATTAGGTCAGTTTTTAGATTGAAAGTGATCGTTTAAGACCGAAAGTACCATTGTGATATTCAAATGATGTTACTGCTACTATATACATATATTTTTGTTAATAAATCAGTATCTCTTGCTTATTGAAGCACTCGACCGTAATATAAAGTGTCTTATTCATTTGCTTTTGCAATTGCTTATTGTGCATCTTTCCAATCGATTTGGTATATGCGTCGAAATACGAACAGAATTACATTTTGTATTCTACCGATTGATACCGTTTTATCTCTATCTAGAATATGAATCTAACAGTGAGTGCTATATTTTTCATACAGATGCTTGTAGAACCGTTGATTGTCTATTTCAGATCTCGTAGGTAATCGTGTTTCAGAAGAAACAAGACGATATTATTTTTGCATATCCATACAAATCTTCTATAATTTTATGAACTGATTATCGACCAATGACGAGAGCCTCTTCTCAATTAAGAATGCACTTGTAGATTCAGCTTTTTAAATCGCTTTATAACAGATTTCAACCACCCGAGTAAGAACATTTTTTTATTAAACGAAAAAGTAGTATATTTTTTAGAATGAAAAATACAGAGATTATGTATTGAAATGTAAATATATATCTTGAGATTTTTTATATCATATCATGTATTGAGAACTAACTATTTATGTAGACGAGTGTTTCATGTCTAAACAATATTTTATGTATAGAGGGATTTTTCCGTCTTTCTAACGACCATTTTCAATCATTTAAACTGCTGATGAAAAAAACAGTACAAC